ATTAGTTCCTAGAATAAACAGAGCAGGAGAAACAGGCTTGGGCAGAAACCCAGGGAGGCAGACACCAGCCAGAACTTGTTTCTTGAGGTACCAGCTGGATTTGTGGTCACTTCTGAGGACCCTCACTGTCACACTACAGACAACAGTGTCTATCTTCTCTAACTCGTCGCCCACTGTGTCTGTACCAGAGGCCCAGAGCTACGTCCTTGGGTTGTCTTCCCCATCCTTGCTTTCAGGGGTGGGGAAATGTCAGTTTCCATAAGAGGAACTGCAGTTGTCCAGCCCAATCTGGATCCCCTCCAAGTGGGAAGCCTGTTCCTGCCGGATAGCTGAGGGGCCAGCACGTGGTACTCCCCTTCTCTCACTCAAACCCATGAATAAGCCATTGCTTTTGTCATTGTGGAAAAGATGACAAAACTCAGCACTCTCCAGGCATCGGGAGATGTATAAAACCTCCATGCCAGCACATTCACCGGTAAAATCTTTCCAAGATCAGCTGGACATCAGGTGTCAAAACCTAAAACGTACCTAGTCCTTCCTTCACAGTGTCAGCCAAAGGAGAGCTGCAGGTATGGGACTGTTTATTCCTCATTCTCTTTGTCCCACTGTTGTTTCTAGTGTGGGTCTCCCTAGCTCGTCATAAAATATTCTGTAATTCTGGCTTATATGAAGGTACCGGCAGAGGAACAAAGGCATGCAGGTCCCGGGGCTGAGATCTCCAAGCCTACTCGGATCGGGGCTGAGCATCCTCCAACCAGATCCTCCGAATTCCAGTAGGCGGGGGTCACACCCACCAACTGGCCCCCTGGCGCTGTGTAATCCCATCAACGTCCAAGACTCAGAGACTATAAAACCCAGCTCCCGGAAGCGCGCGGCCGCATTATGACATCTTATTATCTCATTCCTACTTTGGACAACCTGGCAGGCTATCGAATGTAACCTGCCCACATGGCAGAGTCTGGCAAACTCCCGGTGGCATACCCAATATGCCAAATACCAGTAACAATGATGGGTCTCATTCTCCTAAAGAGCCTCGAATATAGCACTTTCTTAAAAATCTCAGGGCTAGGATGAAGGAGACGTTACTGGGACCTGCTCAAGGTAAGGTAATCGACGAATAACAGGATGGTTGTGATTCATGATTCTGGCTTATACACAGACAGCGAGGAAGACCACAAAGGATTGCATTTTACTGAACACTGATGGCTGAAAAACAACCCTCCAAATTATTGCTACACAATACAAATTACATTTTGCATTTCAGCTTCGAAGCTGGAAGTAGCAGCTGGATGAACTGGGCAAGGAGAAGAAGGTGATATTCAAGACGGGGTGGTGACACCAAGCTGGTCTCTGAGGGGTGCTGAATCAAGGGAGTCCAAGTCAGCGGAGATTAGCCCTCGTTTCTTTGAAGCTTTCAACAGCAGTGGGGTTCCAAACTGCTTGCTAGAATTTGGAAATGGAGAGACTCTGCAAGACTAAGGACTGTTTGGAGCAGTGAAGGTCAGATAAATCAGCTCCTGACCAATTGCAGGTCTATTTGGGGTTAGTTTTCCCCAGCCTCAAAGAAGGGCTTTTTCCAAGTCTAGTTTGGATTACTGTTAAACTAGAATCTGGGGGCTGGAGCCATAGCACAGCGGGTAGGGTGTTTGCCTTGCATGTGGCCAACCCAGGTTTGATTCCCAGCATCCCATATGGTCCCCCGAGCACCACCAGAAGTAATTCCTGAGTGTATGAGCCAGGAGTAACCCCTCTGCATCACCAGGTGTGACCCAAAGAGCAAGAAAATTTTAAAAAATGTGTTTTTTAAAAATAAAATAGCCCAGAGTCTGCTATGGGGACTGGAGTTTGAGAGGTCCTTACCAAGAGTGAGAACATAGGTAGAGGAACACAGGAAATAGTCCATGTAGAACATATATAAAAGGCTGCATTATTGAATTGGTGGCCACACATTGGAACTCACTGGTTATCACTCCCTAGCACTCACTCCCACTGGGGACTCTGAAGAACCCTGCTAGATGTACCTCAGTTATCTGTCTGAAGGTTGGGAGCTGGTGGCTCTATTGGTTGGGGGTAGTCTTGGTGGGGGAAGGAGTAACTGTAGCTACTAGTTACATTCCCACTAGTGAATTTCCTTACTTTGGAATCAGAAAAACCAAGAGATCAACAATGTGACAAGTGTATGTGTGTGTGTGTGTGGGGGGTGTTAGCACATGCATTGGCTCATGGTTGTGCTTGCAATTGAAGATGAGCTCAGAACACATAATGGGGGATAAAAAGTATTTCTATGCTCAATTTTCTTTCTAAGACAGCATTTTCATCCACATGACACATATCAGATCCATGGTTGGTGCTGGGCATCTGTGGATAGCAAAAACAGATTGAGTCTCTGCCTTAAAAGCTGACAGTCTTGATAATACAGCGGGTGGGGTGTTTGCCTTGCACATGGCCAACCTGGGTTTGATTCCCAGCATCCCATATGGACCCCCGAGCACCGCCTGGAGTAATTCCTCATGGAGTGCATGAGCCAGGAGTAACCCCTGTGCAACACCAGGTATGACCCAAACAGAAAAAAAAAAAAAAGCTTACAGTCCAGGGACAGAGAGCTAGTACAGGGGTTAAGGTGCTTGCCCTGGATGCAGCAGACCTGGATTTGAACCCTGGCATGTACAGGGTGCCTCAGGAACCACCAGGAATGATTCCTGAGCAGAGTCAGTTGTAAACCCTGGGCACCACTGGGTGTGTCATACCATCCCTCCAGCAAAAACCCAAAGCAACCAAATAGAACCCAAATCAACCCTCAGTCTTTTGTGGATTTCGAGCAAACTCAAGTGGTTAATTATGAACTTCCAAGAGAGAAATGAAGAAGTGGCAAAACAGCAGTAAAGGAAAAAGAAAAATTGCTTAGGAAAAGGAACCTTGGGAGATAACTTCCAAGTTATAGACAATTAAGGGGACCACAAGAGACCCCTCCCACTTCCTCAAAATACCTCCCACATTATGGCTGGGTATGATGATAACATTTCATCAAAATGTTGAACGTCCACCCAAAACTATTCCCTTTTTTAGTCACATTCCTCCTTCCCGGTTTCTCATAGTTGAAAAAATACAAACTTTTTTTTTTTTTATGAAGACTGAGAACCATCATTTTATCAATATGCATTCTCGCTGATGTCCGGATGAGCTCAAGGTGCTGTGAGGGGCCAGAGAGATAGTGCAGGGGTTAAGGGGCTTGCCTTGCATGCAGCCAACCTCAGTTCCATGTTGGCCTATGAACAGAGCCCCTGAGCACCACCGGCTGTGACCCCCAAGGGCTCCTGCCTCCTTACCCCATCCCCCAGTAAGCAAACAAAAGCACCAACAAAACCCCCACCAACCTAAAAAACAAAAAGCCCTCCCAGATGTGACTAGGACTATCAGCAGGTAGGAATGGTTAGCAGAGCACAGGAGTGACGTGGGTGTGTGTGGGGTGCTCAGCTGTGAGGTCAGGTTATTATGGAGTGAGATCCCAGAGGCAAAAGTCAGCAACTTTGACACCTGGTGGAAGGCAGACTTTCTATTTTTAAAAGAGTTAGGGATCTCCCTTCCCTAGTTTCGCCTTCCCTCCCCCCTCCCCTCCTTCTCCCCTTCCTTCCTTCCTTCCTTCCTTCCTTCCTTCCTTCCTTCCTTCCTTCCTTCCTTCCATCCATCCAGGCTTAGGGTTGGCAAGAGGAAAATGGACAGAGAAGTTCCAAAGCTGGGGTTTGGAGGCTGAGGCCGGCCCCAAGAAGTACTCCTCCTCACCATCCTGGCACTATTTTTTCCTTCTTTTAAAATTGGACCCACATTTAAAAATAGGATTTCCACCTTCTCTTTAAAAATCAGATGATCTGGCAACACCGAGCCCTCATTTCTGCCTGGGAACAATTGGAGTTGAGCAGCTGTCACACTCTTCAGAAAGACGGTGATTTGCCGCCTCTCGAGTCCCACCATTTCTCACAGTCCTCCCCCAGCACCGAGCGCCAAGCCCTTTCAATATAGAATAAACATGAGGATCGAAATACTGAATCCTTCACGAAAGGGACCGCTGGGACCTGTGACATCTGGGAGCCTTCCATTTGGAGCGTCCATCCAGGGGCTCTGAAACAAACTTGGGCTCGGCTAGTAAATTTCGTCTCAAAGGCACTGAAGACTCAAGGGGGGAACTGCAAGGCTAGCAAAACGCTTGGGTGCCTAGCAGCTATTTCCAGCACGCGCTGGAAGTGAAGGAGGCTCAGGTGGAACCCGCGGCAGTGTCATCCTGTGCCTGGTCCCGGGAGCTGGCGCGGTGTTTGCGGCACGCACGACCGAACGCATGAATGACGGACAGTAAAGCTCGGTGGGACGGCAAGGCTGCTCTGGAAAGGACGGCGATCGGGCATCTCGTTGCACTGCGACTCCAGGGCTCCTCCTGCAAGAAGACCCGCGAGGCCGGGCGGCGGCCCGGGGATGCGCCCGCGGAGGGCGGGATCCCTCCGAGCCAGGTGGAGCCGGGCCGTCGGCGTCCAGCCCACCCCCTCGTCCGCGGCTCGTCAAAGGCGCCTCTCCGCGCCCGCCTTTCCCCAGGCCTCCGCCGACAGTGGGGCTCGGGGGGGCGAGGATGACGGGGGCGGTGGGTGGGCGGGCGCGGCGATCCACCGCCCGGCGCCGTCCCCGCGCCAGCCCTGCCCACACTAGACATGGCCTCCCTCGGGCTTCACGCCGCGGGTCCGCGCCCGAGCCGCGGGCCGCCGCGCCTGCCCGGACTCAACATGGCGCCGGGCGGCTTCGGCGCGGGGCGGGCGGCGCCCGCGGCGGGTCACGTGAGCGTCCAGCTGGGCGGTCCGCGCGCCCGCCCGCCGCCGGCCGCCGCCGCTCGCTCTGCGTCCGGCCCGGTGGCGCTCCGAGCTCGTCCGGGACGTCGGGCCCTCCCCCGGCGGTGCGCGCGGCGCGGCGGCGGCGGCGGCATGCGGCGGCGGCCGTGGCGGGGCCGCGGGCCGGGCCGGCGGGCGCGGGGATGAGCGTCGGCGGCCGCCGCCATGTCCACCAGGGTCACGGCGCCCGGGCCCGGGCCGGGGCCGGCGGCGGCGGCGGCGGGCGGCAAGGAGAAGCGCTCCTTCAGCAAGCGGCTGTTCCGCAGCGGCCGCGCGGGCGGCGGCGGCGCGGGGGGCCCCGGGCCGGCCGCGCCCGCCTCGCCGGCGTCGTCGGCGCGCTCGGTGGGCAGCTTCATGAGCCGCGTCCTCAAGACGCTGTCCACGCTCTCGCACCTGAGCTCCGAGGGCGCCGCGGGGCCCGAGCGCGGCGGCCTGCGCGGCTGCTTCCCGCCGGGGCCGCCCGCCGCGCCCGCGCCGCCCCCCGCCTGCCCGCCGCCGCCCGCCGCGCCCGCGCCGCCCGCCTGCGCGCACGCCGAGCCGGTGCCCGGCGTGGCGGGGCTCCGCAACCACGGCAACACGTGCTTCATGAACGCCACGCTGCAGTGCCTCAGCAACACCGAGCTCTTCGCCGAGTACCTGGCGCTCGGCCAGTACCGGGCGGGCCGGCCCGAGCCCGAGCCCGAGCCCGAGCCGCCCGCGCCGGGCCGCGGCGAGGTCACCGAGCAGCTGGCGCACCTGGTGCGCGCGCTCTGGACGCTGGAGTACACGCCGCAGCACAGCCGCGACTTCAAGGTGGGCCGCTCGCCGGGGCGGGGGCGCACGCACCGGCCGGGGTCCTCGGCGGGCCGCGACGAGGCTCGGGGCGGACGCCCCCGGTGGAGAGGCGGGGGTCCCCCCGCGCTCGCCCTCCCGCCTTCCTGCCTCCTGTGCGTTCGTCCGAGTTCGGTGCCAGGGCCCCGCACCCCCGTTGCTTGGGTCTTGGGAAGGGACGGCGCGCCCCAAACTTTCTGCACCTTGCATCTCCTGCCGTGCGCTGCTTGCTGTGGGGTTCGGGGCTGCTGACTCCACCTCTGGGGGGTCTCCCTGGTTTGGTGTCTTGCCGGGGGTCTTTCTTTCAACGTGCCGACAAAAGTGTCGAGGAAGGGTCCCCCTTCGGGGTGGTCGACTCGACGGGTCCTTGGAGAGGGTTTCAGCGCAGTGGCGTGGGCAGCGTGGGCACCGGTACCTGGTGTATCGGCAGCTGCCGTTTGGAGTTTTGGGCGTGGAGGGCTTGACCGAGTCAAGCGGTTTCTACCCAGGCGTTGTTGGAACACCCGGTGGGAGAACTGGCGCAGCGTGGTGGGGCGTGTGCCCTCCATCCGGGTTAGAGCCCTTGCACCCCATATGTCCATATGGCCCCCTGAGCACCTCCTCGTGTGATTCCTGAGTGTAGCACCAGGAGTAACCAGGCAGCGTGGGAGAGTGTGGCCATAAACCAGAAAGCGAGGTTGGATCCCTTCACTGGGGGCCAGGGCAGTTGAGCTTCACCCCCCTGGGAAGAGCAGATAGCGGCGGAGTCTTGAGTCACCCTGTCAGGGGAAAGGTGCCCCCTTGAAGGGATGCATGGGAGAGATGGGGAGGAACTTCGTGCACTTGAGAAACGTGTCTCTCGGCTGGCTCGCTGGGAGTCTGTCTCTGGTTGTGCCAGCCGGGGTGCAAGATGAAGGCTGGTACCAACTTAGGTGTTTACCAACCCCCAGGAAAACAAAGTTCCCCCAAATGTTACCCAGATAGAACTCAACGAGAGTTGATCAGGACAGATCTTAATTTTGGTTTTGGCTGTTCCTGGCAGTGCTCAGGCGTTACTCCTTGCTCTGTGTCAGGGATCATTCCTGGAGGGGCTCAGGGGACCACATGCCGTGCCATGGGTCAAACCCAGATTGGCCTCATGCAAGGCAAGCGCTGTGCTATCTCACTGGCCCCTGCTGGACAGTTCTCCTGAGAATAGGACTATCTGGAGGGCATGTGTTTGGCTTCAGCAGAGTTCAAAATTGGCTGTACCCTGTGAAGAATCCTATCTGCTCTGGACAGTGGACTTACGACCCCGGGGCTATCACCGCTCCCTGCTGGGGTTGCTGGAAGGGTCTTTGGCTGGGGTCTGAGGTGCTGGACCATCTATGCTTCGACTGTCCATCTCTGCAGAGAGGAAGATGGTTTGGGATTGTGTGGGTGATCCTCTTGGGTTGGACTTGGGGAGGTATTAAAAGAGAATGAAGTCACACAGGGAGAGAGTTAATTCCTTCTCTGTTCTCTTCCTGTCCTGATTATGCCCAACAACAAGCTCAGGAGAAAGTCTCAGCTGGTGGTAAGTTCTAACACCTCTTGCTCACGCCCACACTCTTTTTTTTTTTTTTTTAAATTTTTAAACAAAAAGAGAACAAGTGTCTGGTTCAGAGGCTTTCGCAGGCAGCAGTAGCGGTAGCTGGAATTTAATAAGGTTATGTTTCCCTTGGGTGTGCATTTATATTTATCTTCTATTTATGGCAAAGTGGTACCGGCTTTTTATTGGTGCTGTGAAGTTTCTGAAACATTTAGGCGAAAGTCCATGGTTTGAGTAAAATATAAAATGATGATGGTCTCCAGTTGCACCTCGCTTCTCTGGACCCCACTGGCAGGGCGTCTACCCTCTTGCGCATTTTGCTTGCATTTTATTTGTATTTGTTTGTGGTGCTCTTGGCTTGTTTTTATCAAATAAGACAAAATGGTCACAGTTTTCTCTTGGAACTGTGAATGGAAATACTAGAGTGGGTTTTGTGTCGGAGAGAGAATGGCACTCCTTTCTCTCCTGTGCTGGCTGCAGCCATTGCAAACGTTTTTCAAGGTTAGAAGCCAGTGTTTTAAATTTGGTTTTCTTTTCCAAAATGTGGACAGTTAATTTATTTCTACAGCATCTTCCCGTGTGGATGCTTCCATTGTATACATTAAGCTGTGAAGGGAAATGGGTCAATAGTTCTAGAAACGCAGAGACTGATTGTATGGGCACATTTTGGCAAACTTGAACAGATTCTTAGAGGTCCTTTTTGTTTGTTTTTGTTTTGGGGCCACGCCTACTGGTGCTCAGGGCTTACTCCTTCCTGGCTCTGCCAACTCCGGGATCATTCCTGGGATCATTCCTGGCCGGCTCTGTGGATCAGGGGTGTCAGGGTTCCAGGTGGGCAGGTGCCCTGAATGCTGGTTGTGCAGAGGCTGTGCTCTCATACTGGCAGGTCCCCATTGGTAAAAATGTAACTTCTGAGCCTTTGTAAATTTCACTCTGTTTCTTACCGGCTTAGGAAGCTTGCCATGGAGAAAGAGTGTTCTAAGGATGGCTCCTTAGCTGTCCTTTAGGAGATGGGGTCTTAGCCCAGTGGAGCCCTGTCCCAGTCTATAGCTTCCCTGGCTTTCTGTCCTCCGGTTCCTTGCCTGGCAGTCTTCTGCACAGTGGTAATAGGAGTTTCTTTTTCCTTTTTCCCCCCTAATTGAATCACAGTGAGATACACTCACAGTGAGATCACTGTGAGATACAAAGTTACAAAGTCGTTCAGGGTTGGGTTTCAGTCATACAGTGTTCTAGCACCCAATCCCTGCGCCAGCGCACATTTCCCACAACCAGCGTCCCCAATTTTCCTCCCTCCACCGCACTTCCCAGGCTGACTATGGCAGGCACCTCTCTCTCTCTCTCTCTCTCTCTCTCCCCACCCCCCTCTTCCTCTCTCCCTCTCTCTCTCATTCTTGACGGAAGTTGGTGTTCCTCTGGTCCTCTGGGAGCCCCTTGGGCTGGAGTGTGGCTGGGTACCCGGGGTTTCCTGCTGGAATGGAGATGAGGGAGGGAGGGTTGCCTCTTTCTGACCTGCTCAGCTTCCCTGTGCCGTGCACGTGGGTCTGCAGAGAGGATGGACACTGGGTTGCTTATGCAGAACTGAGCCTCGGGGCCCTGGTCAGTACCTCTCACCCTGGACTGTGCGTGGAGCACACCTGGGTGGCTGGTTCCATGGGACGTTAGGAATACACAGAGCTGTGGAGAGGTCCCAGCCCCTGCATTTCTGAAAAGCGCCCAGATGACATCAGTGCCATGGCTTGGGGACCATGCGTGCGATAACAGGCTCCAGGGAAGAGGAAAACTCCCCAGGAGATGTGTTCTAAAGACCGAAGGAAATTCCTGGGCTGACAGTAGTGGAGTGGCTTGAAAGGGCCAGTGGTTTGGGGGCTGTGGTTGGGTGGCTGATTATACTGTGGAGAAGCTGGAGCAAGGTGTGCTGTGACCCGACCCGGAAGGGCTTGGTAGTCCCCTTGTTGGACTGGATCCTCTGGAAGTTGAGATGCTGGGGCTAGATTTCCAAGAGGGAGGAGCCTGGGGTCAGACTTGCTCTCTCTCCCACTCCCCTCCCCCTTTAGTGAGGCTGGTGGCGGTGAAGAGAATTACTTGCTTCATCCCCCCCCCCCCCAAATGTAAATGTTGAATGACGGCCATGCTGGTTTACCTGTCACCACACCACCTTGCTGGTGGCGGCCAATGCTGGTTTGGATGCAGTTCTTCCAGCTCTCACTCCAGCATCCTGCCGGTGTCTGGGCTCCAGGCCGCCACTGCCACCTCACTGGAGTTGGCAGAAGAGACAAAACCAATTTGAGATGCTTTGCCTGGAGGTCTCCAAAATCACTTAGTGCATCTTTGTGCTTTTATTCTCTTAAAATTCCTTAAGTTACTAATGGTTTTCTCTGTAAGGTTTTTTTTTTGTCCTTAATAGAACCCTTTCTTTCTCCCCACATTGGTTAAAGCTTTCAGAAGCTTGCCAGGTAAATGGATTTGGGGTATTGGAAGAGCCAGGGGGCTGTTACTGTTGGGGTTTGTTCTTGCAGCATGTGATGAGCTGACTTCCCAACCTTGGTCCGCTGCGGGAACTTCTCCAGTCGCCCCCTCTCCTTTCTCTACAAAGCAGTTTTCCTCCTGTTAGCGTGTTGGTTATGCTTACCCCCCGCCCCCGCCCCCTACACCCCAGCCTCCTTCCCCGGGACGTCGGCAGTGTCTGAAGACATACTTGGTGGTGGCAGCTGGGGAGGGGGCGGTTCTTGTGGCATGTGGCGGGAGCTCCAGGGTGGTGCTGAGGTTGAGAAACTGTTGGGGGTGTTTCCAGCCTCCGAGGATGGTGCTGAGGTTGAGAAACCAGTGGGGGCGTTTCCCCACTCCTGCCTTGGGATTGGGTTCCTTGAGTACACCTGGGGTTCTCCCGGCAGGCGATGGTGTTTGTAGGAGGATCACCAGAGACGCTGCATCGCCCTGGAAGGGGGCCATGTGCTGGTGTGAGAGGAAGGCCGCTCTCGTGCCTCTCCAGGGCTGCGCGCAGGCTCCGGCTTCTTGCAGATGCTCCGTGATTACAGCACTCAGCATCCTCTTGCAGTAAGAGGCTGATAGTCATCTTTCAAGTCACCAAGATAAGCTTGCTAACAGCAGTTTTAAAATCGTGTTCTCAAAGAACTAGCACAGAGTGATCCACTGATTAAAGAAGAAAAGACAAAATGCAGCTGTGGGTTCCTTCCCGCTTTGCAGTCCGGCAGAAAAGCCATTGCAGCGTCGATTTCCTTGCCTGTGCGTTTTCTCCCCTGGTGCTGTGTGCCTTGTGTGAGTTGTCAGGTTACAAAGGGAACACACATGTACAAGCAAGCCGGTCAGGGCACTGCAGTTAGGGACTTAAGGGCTCCGCCTCACACCCTCCTTTTCCAGAGGGAAACTGGTTGGGAACTCCCACGGACCTAGGAGATAAATTTTGTTCCATGGA